TACGTAGGTATTATAAATTAAATAAGAAATTTAATAGCACATTATAAACATTAAATTTTACAAGAATGGTGTAATTTTATACAGAACAATGAAAATTTGAAGAACATCCACGTTTTAAGTGTTTTTCAAAATTTTCTGTTCTTATAACTTTTGTGAACATTTCCATGACCTGTACTGATTTTAAAATTTTCCAAAACTAGATTTCAAAATTACAGAGCTATTATTATTTTCCGCTTAATCAATGCAACAAATTATTTAAATTAAAATTAGTACGTATCTTAAATTTTATCTCTAAATACATAATATTTTTCTACCCATGATATTTTTCATTTACTTCAGTACTTCATATTTAATTTTATTATTCGTACGTGAAAATAATAAATAATATTTGTCATATTTCGCCCACTTTCAAGTACAATTCAAAAGTATAAATTATGTAATTCTTTATTTCAATATTATCATTCTTCTATTACTTTATAGCAGGAGACAAATAAGCATCCTAAAAGAGAATGGGGATTATAATACAAAAATTGTGTAGGTGAAATTAAATTATAACAAACAAAATTTTAAATATTCATAAATATGTAAAACAAAATAAAATATGCAATAATAAAAGAGTATTTCCATAGAACAGAGAACAAAAAAATAAATATAAGGTAAATTAGCTCACTTATGGCCATCTAAAATATAGAGTTTTTAAAATAGCTCAATTATTTTTGTATGAACCGGTTTAATACGTAAAAATGTACTATTTCATTGTAGATAAGATTGAAAGTTCATTAAATCAATAACTTATTAAACAAATTTTAGGGAGTCTAATTAAAAACAAATTTGTAAAATTTTTTTAGACCGTTTAACTCACATTAAGTTAAACATCTTAATATTGCCCAAATTTGAATTAAAACTTAGTTCATTCTCACAGCACTACTGTTTCGTCTTAGTTCCGTATATTGTACTTATTTTTGTAAATCTATACAATAATTGCACTAAAATGCGATTCCATGGTATAACAATTCCATGTATAATTTTTCAAAATTCTTAAAACGTAAAGAATTGCTTTCTTATGTTAGCAATTCCAAGAATAAAATATTTTTCAATTGACCATTACATTGACCGTTATACATTAGGCCATATTACTTGAAAATATCTCGAAAGATTACACAAAAACAAGAAATTTAATAAAAGAAATTTAAAATAAAAAATTGTTACTGTTATATTAAGGACAAAAAAAAATGAATTTACAAAAATGGATGAAATGAAAACAAAACAACGTATTCGGAAATAACAGAATGATGCAAAAATATTTTCAACATAAATATATATTCAAATTTTCCATACTTATATACATAATCATATATAATACTACAACGTACATGCATACATATAGTTTGTTGATCCGTAAATTTATACAATGTATATATGTATATGCAAAGTTTTTCTCCGGTTAATCAAAATAGTTGTTTTCCTGTAGCTTTCATTTCCAGTCAATTACAAAGCAAAAAAAACAAAAAATAACAAGAATGAAAAAAATTGTTATACCCAAAATTATTATGGTATTAGTATAGGTGGATATAGTATTATAGTAGCTATCGGTACAAGTAATAGAGTTTTTTCAGGATGTTACACTGGTTTACAGCGGATATTAAAAATAAAAAATGAAAGTTTAATATATGCAAACGAAATGAGTTCAGAATTTCTGTTTTTTTTTTTCTTTTTCGTCTCTTTATTTCTTGAATATTCACGACGATTCCTTTTTTTTTTCCCCCAGTTTTCTTTTTTCTGAGTGTAATTGAAATTAAGTAACTTACATATTTATATAAATACACATAAATATAAAATATATAACAGATTTACAAGTGTTATACACATACATACTTTTTTTTTATTTTTGTGAATTTATTACTTTTTTTTTTTTGTAAATTGGGTAATCTGATGGTGATTATTGTTGTTTGCTTTTGCTATTGTATCGTCGAATTGCAATGGTGTTTTATTGCAGATTTTCTAAAGATTTTTCGATTTTTCGGTATTTTTTCTTTTCATATTTTGTTTTTGTATTTTATTTGGAGGGGAATTCAATATTTTAAGCTTAAAACCGATTAAAAAAGAAGTCACAGTTGGAATTTTTAATATTTTGTTTATTTTATACTTTCAGTTATGTTTGTAATTGTCATTAGTCGCAAAAAAAAATTGTAATGCACTCTTAAAATAATTCCTATTTTTTTTTTGTTTTTTTTGTTAATATTATATTTTCTTATTAAGAATAAAGCTTTAAAAATAACACGTACCTAAATTAATTGTCCAATATAAAATTTATTGCAAGATGAAAAATAAAAATATTTTTTTCTTTTATTAATTTGTATGTCAAACTTGATTTGAATATCAGATTTATTGCGTAACGATAAAGTAATAAAGCGCGAAATAATGCAAATTAGTATTTAATATTTTGGTCTTAAATAAAGCGGCTTCATTTGCCCCATTTATTTATCATTAAAGAGATAGAGTTGTATAGCTTCCCATACGTTACACAAATAATTTAACTAGTAAGGAGACATGCCGCAACCCTCAATTCAACAACCGAATGTATTCAAACAACACACTGCGCTATTAGAATCAGCTCACATCTCTCACGAATCTCAAATATCTGTCTAAAACAACATCTCATATATTTCGATTTAATTTACATGGGCGCACATTTCATTTAGAAAATTTAGAAATCCTAGCCAATATTGTGATGAAAATCGAATTAATAGTTGTATAACTGGAAAAGTTGTTTCTTATTTTTATAACGTTTCACTTTTTTTTTTTGATATATGAATCGATTCATTAAAATTTTAAGACATTTTTGACATCTACTATTGTTATGCACGTTTATGCATTTCCCTATATATACTTTGGTATATATATACGAGTATAAAATTTTCATGTTAAATAATAAAATTATTGAAATTTTTTTTTCATATTCTTTTGTAAATAAAGAAAAAAGAAGTATGAAAAATGCAAAAATTAAAACTGTTTTTTTATACTTTAGCAAACTGGTTAAAAAATGTAGTTTCAAAAAAATTTTTTTTTCCCATTGATTTTCATTTTTTACAATTTGATATAAACGAATACAATAACCGAGTACAATAATAAATTTAAAAATCGTTGCTGTCAACCCAAAGTTATTGGAAATTACAAACATTTATAAAAAAATATACTTATTATACGGTATGGGAGAATAAAACTTGTTAAAAAATACATTCATATACATTTATTTATCAATATTATAATATTATATAATGTATATACACATAGGTTATATACGTATAGAATATGTGTGTTTATGTGGTTCAGAAAACCCAATTTAAATTGACATGAAAAAAACATAAAATTTGAAATAAAATTCATCCAAATACCATTAAATTTTAATATTTACGTCTTTCTTCAACTTTGTAGCATTTTATATAAGTATAATATATGTATGTATATATGTGTTATAAAAAAATCACAATATCGAAAACTTAATATTATGCATTGTGGAATAAGTATTAAAAAACAAAATGGAATTTATGGTTTGAACAGCACATAATCGATCTTTTTACACTTGATCCAATTAAATTAAGTACCTACCACAGGATCTAAAATTAATGTGAAATTTGTTCGGAGTAATATGGGTTGTTTTGTTTAAGGTGATTATCTGAATTTGTACACTATGTTTATTTCCGAAATTTTTCCGAAGAGTCAATTTTTAATTAATAAATTAATTTAATGGTAATGATAATCATATGCTCTGAATTTATTTAATTTAGAAAAAATTTTTATTTATAATCTTTTTCGACATGAAATTATATAAGTTTTTACAGAACCTGTTACAATTTTCATATGAAATTTTTTGTGACAAACAATACCTGCCTTTTTATAAAAAATTCTGTAAAATAAATTTTAATACGTAATTATTTTTTAATAAAAATTTTAAATAAAAATTTTTTGAGATTAAAAAAAAAGTGGAACGTTTTGTAAATAATATGCTTTTAAATTTTAACTTTTCATATATTTTTTTTTATGTTTCAAGTTGAATGAATACGTTAAAAATGTACATATATAAGAGTTCACTGGCCCATTTTCAAGTTGACGTATTCGATGTAATTTTAATAAATCATTTTTTATAATGTATTATTGTTAGTATAAGTATAACACATATGAAGTATTAAAAAAAGTGATTTTATTACATAAACCCTATATTAATTTAATGAGATTTTCAATCATATTGTTACATATACTCGTACTTAAATTACTGAAAATCTTAAAGTTAGTTTACATACTTCAATGGTGAAAATTTTAATCATTAGTAATTAGTATAGTAATTACCTATACCAATATTGTGTTAATTTTCTACTAAAATTGTGCTAATGTTAGAACTTGTAACGTAAAGTAAAGAAATTGTTATATGAAAAATGGCAATCCAATTCGAACAAAATTAATAATTATGGTACTGTGCTTGTCTAATGCCTAAAATAAGCAGGTTTTTAGCAGAAAACTAGTTCAAAGTTAACTAAATTAAAAGTTGTATTTAAAAATTAACATCACCTAAATTTTGATTTAATAAAAAACGTTCTTATTAATTTGGTATTGAGCACGTATAGCAACATTATATAGGGATTTTCGTTTATTCACTTCTAAAATGGTTTAAGGTTGTAGTACGTTCGAAAATTCACGCTACGTACACTGAAAATGTAGATCGTTCGGAAATTACTGGCTGTAATATAGTGCGTTCGAGAATTCAATATGAAATTTAAAGAAATGTCAGGAAAGTAAGGAAGACCTTAAGTTTAAATTTTTTATCTTTTTTTCTTCAAAAAAAATTTAATTTTATAAACAATGTTATTTCTGTTATTTTCTAACAACTGATTATTTAAAAGCTTCAGAATTTGTAGACTGCGTAAACGAAAAAAATTTAGCTGAAGTTTTTGCATACTCTTCTAGTTCTAATTTTAGTTCTATTGCAGAACTTTCACCACAGTTTGCATAAACGAAAACCCGATTATAAGATATTTTCTAATTTTGATTTCAATGGTAACCATACTCACATAAAGCTTACTTATATCTTCAAATGTTAGCAACCAATTCATTTTAAAAGTTCGAATTACCTGTAATAAAAAAAATAAGATATTTGATTTAAAATATTTTTTGAAATATTCTTTAAAATTATTAAAATTTTATTCAAAAAAATTAAAACAAAAGGGTAGTACCCTTAAATAATTTTTTACTATAGATCATTAATGTGTATATAGTTCAAATTAGATTTAAAGTTACTACAGAAATTTTAAAATAGACCCAAAATAAAATTGTCCCTTTGATGGTAATATACTAGCACCTTCAAATAGATATTAATTTATTGTAAACATCACACGTAAATTTTAAATAAAAATGATTTTCAATTTTCACATTTATTGATCTAGAAATTAATATTGAAATTGGAAAAATTGACAGAGATTATAAATTATTTGCAGTAATTACAATTTAAAATTAGGAAGTAAGAAGTTATTCCTTCAGATTTAAAATTAAAAATTGGAATACAGAATTCATAACGGATAACTACACCTTTCAAAACAATTTTATTATTTAAATCTTATTAATTAAATTTTATTAATTTAATAAACTCATTGCTCATTATGTACAGTAAAATGAACGAAAAAAATTAGATGAATGCGTAAGGATCTCATTTATTTCATTTTTTCATTATATATGTATTGTATATACAGGCATACAGACATATAATAGCTATTAATATGTTTATACATACTTACACACTTTAAGCATTTTGCTTTGTTCTACAATAATTAACAATAAATTCAACAATTTTAATAATATTTAAGTTTCATCTAGTGTAATTAACTTTATGTCGTTCGCTCTTTTTTAAAACTAAAAGTCTACAAAATATAAAAAAGAAAAATAAAAAGTAAAAGATTTGTACAAAAAAAAACAAAAAAAAAAAATCTAAAAGACTTCTAATTTTCTAACAACCCGGAAGCGTTTTATTGCATTTCCGTTTCCCGTTTCAAATTCATTCATTCACTTTCATTCATTTCCATTCAATTTTTCTTTTGTGTCTTCTGTCATTTTCCTTTTATTTTTCGTTTTTTTTTCTGCTTTACGCCACAGAAAAAGTCATTTTATTTTTCATCTCGCCTTTTATTGTTTTTTCTTCAATTCCGTTCTATATAAATGGCGTTTATATATTTATAGCTTCACTTCCATACACACAAACATTATTTTTTTGCGATTTTATTTTTTTTTTTTGCATCTTTTTTAATTTTTCAATTTTAATTCAGCAAAAGTCATACGAAAACTTTTCATAATTTGAAAATTAGAAAAGAGACACAAATAAAAAATAAGGAAAGAAAAAAAAATATGAGAAAAAAAAGCTGTCATTTAATAAAACGCAAAACTATTAATGTTTGTGTGTTTATTTTTCATAAACTTTTCCACTTTTCCGAATTGGTTCGTTTTATTTGTGTTTTTGTTTTATTTTATTTTTTTCTCACAGTCTCACATTTTACATCTTTCTCTCTTTCCAGTTTTTTTATTGCACATTTTTCGTTCTCTTCTTTTTTTTTGTTCCGTTCTGCTTCTGTTCTATTCTGTTATTCTATTTTATTTTTACTCTCGTTTTTGGTTAGTTAATTTTTTGTCTTTCTCCTCCCTTCGAACCGTCTCTTTCATTTTGTTTTATTTCTTTTGTTGGCGAAATGAGTTCTACATGAATTTTATAATTAGAACTTTTTAAAAAAAAAAAGAAAAAGTTTTTGAAAGGAATTCGAACAAAAGGAAAATCGTAATTTTTCTCTAAGCTTATTTTTTTTTCTTCCTTTCTTCTTTTAATAAATTTTTGTGATTTTAAAGCGAAAAATAATGTTATCAACATTTCGTGATACATTTAACATTGTCGAAATTAAAAAAAAAAAATAAAAGTTAATTTATATCAAAACTGTTATATAGATTTTTATTATAGATTTTTAGAGTTAATATTAAAAATATGTATAGAATGGGTGTAATAAAATACGCGATATTTGAATTTAGTGGTCTATTGTAGTACAGAGTTTCCTTTTACATTTTTATGTAAATTGTAAAATATTTTAAGACTGTGTATTTCACTAGTTGCTAAAGAATCTATTTAACACGGTTTTAAAATTTTGGAATTTATAATTTGAAAATTTCAAAAAATAAGAAAGTTTAATCAAAATCGAAATTGTTTCCCTTGATTTAAAGGCAAACGTTTTTTCGACTAATTTACTCATGAAACATGTATTACAATTCCAAATTGTAATCCTCATAAAAAAAATTTGTTTGATATTATATTTGTTTACCGTTAACTTTAAATTGAATACTCTTCTAACACATATTCTTGTCTTTATGCTAAAGATGTAATGAATAATTAGCAAAATACTTAAAAATATATTCTTTACAATACTTGCGTATTTGTCCAACCAAATCAAATTTAAGTATTTTTAATTTTGTTTTTCGATAACCTTCCGATTATATAACATTTTAGGTCATTTAATTTCAATCGTTTGCATTTCTTTACAAAAAATATGTACACCTAGGCCTCAATTTAAACCGCTTCGCTTTACATCTTTCCGTTTTACATTTTTTTAAATTTTCAAATTAATTGTTCTGTTTCGGCATTCTTATTCTTGATTTACGTTCAATGAGAATTAAAGATTTAAAGAAAATAGTAAATTTTTTTAGAAATATAATCGTCGTAAACTTGTGCTATTAAAAACTCTTACCAAATAATCAATTAAATTTAATATAATTTTTATATCTTTTAATTTGATTTCTTACAGGATATGGTCAAGTATTATAACAGTTACACTATACTTATAATTTAATAACAGTAACACTATATATTTATTACATAATATTATATTACATTTTCAATTAACGTCTTTCTGTTTTACATCAATCAATATTAGAACGTAACCTGGACGTTAATCGAGGCCTTAGTATACATAGCTACATAATATTATATTATGTTTTCTACATCAAATATACAAAACAAAATTCTGTTGAAATTTCAAAGATGTTTTTGGATTTTAATGATTTTTTAAATTAATTATATACATTTTCAATTAGTATATTTTTTCAATTCATTTCTAAATATCTGATAATGTTATATTAGTAAAAATAATGTATATTATTCGTATATATAGGCAAATGTTATACTTCTATGTTCATTATAAAATGTACAAAATACATACATATGTATGTATATAAAAAATTGCATCAATATCAAAATGACATTATTAACATTTTCCATTTTTCCTAAAACATAAAATAATTATGTATGTATGTTTCATGTCCATGTTTCGGTACATATACACAAATGAATTTACAAATCATAAAAATTCAATGTAATTAAACTCGTCATCATCAAAATGAATTCATCGGTAAATACTCTTAAAGATTTTAAATGAAATTGAAATGAAATACGCTAGTTCTATATAAAATATTAAAGTATACTGTACGTATACATTATAATTATGTAGATAAAAAAATATCCTTAATTACGGCAAAAACTATAAAACTATTTTTAATAATATACATATTATATATGTATGTACATATATCTTATATTGAGCAATTTAAATTTATATATCTAATATTAACATGTGTATATTAGATGAAATTTAGATTGACATGGTATTAGAATGAATTAAATGTCATTTAAATTAGAAAAAAAAAAATGAAAACGACAACTAAATCTACCAAAAAATTTAATGATTAAAAATAAAGTTGGTATTATAATATTAATATTGTTGTGTATATGTGTGTGCATGTAAATTCATATTAAATGGAAACTTTTCAAAATTCTATTTAACATTAATGTTTACGACACTAAAGTACAGGAATGCAATATTTAAATTATAAAATTCAAATTTTTTTAGATTCTATATATTGTTGTCAATTAATTTTGATTTTATGCATATAGAAATTAAATTAAATACAATAACCAATAAGAAATTATTTAATTAAAATAAAATCAGAAATACTGCATTACATTCATAAAATCTGTCATATTATAATTTTTATAACACTTTTTCAAATTTTTAATTAATTTTTAAACTAACTAGATTTTGAGTTTTTGAAATTTTATGTACTTTAAGCAAAAATTCAAAAAATTCAGAGGAAAAATTTGGAATTCTTAATTATGATTATTAATCACTAGTAGCTGTTACTTGGCAACGTAAAAGTCACTTGGCTGTATAAAAGGAATAAGCAGATGAAATAAGCGTTTTCATACTCAAAAAACATGTACAGTTGCCTTCAGAAATAGTCTTTTCCCTCCATGTAATGGTCTACCATTTGTTTATTCTAAAGAGATGTTATGATTTGGTACAAGAATTGTACCAAATAATAAATAAGGAGGAATGAAATACAAAAATAATTGGAAATATTGAAACGTAATAGTCTACATTTTATATAAATCAGGTCTTTGAAGATTTGAGAAAATTAAAATTTCTCAAAAGTAAAAGGACACAAATGTAAAAATTAAATGATTTAAAAATTCTTTATTAAGAATCGTAAAATTTCCAAAAACCTCCAAGCAAGTTGCAATTTTTCCTTAAAAAATTGTACTTGCAATGAAAATTTTCGACAAAACATTTTAATTTTGTTCCAGAATTTACTCCCAATAAATAATATTACCAGTATTCAAAAAATATTATAAAATATTGACAATTAGAACAACACTATAGAAATAATTCGTATAAAAACTGTTAGTGCCTGTATTTAAAAATAATAATAATCAAAGTATAGTTAAAAGATTTTTTGTTATATCTATGCGTACATACATATATATATATACATACATACGCATATCAATTTGCAAAGCATGTTAACAAAATATTTTTAAATAAAAACTCCGCATTAAAAAAAAAAAAAAAAAAAAAAAATTTATTTTTTTTATTGATTTTATTCCCAGATCATAGCATTTTATGCTGTCAATTAAAGTTTAATATGTGGTTTTAGATTTGAATCTAAGTTTTTTAATAGTATATCAATTTTTTTGTTTTTTTTTTTTTGCTTATATAATATTTTGTCAAAATCGTTTGTCTCTGCATTTAATTTGTATAACAAATATAAT